AATACAAAAAAATCTATAACCGGCGAGTCACTGTGCGGAATCGTCCGATTCTCTCTAGAACCGGACGATTTCCGATTTTTCAACCGATCCGGTCTCTTTTCGAGAATTCCGAGTCGAACTGGGCGAGTCCGGTTCGACTCGGCGTTTTTTAAAACGCTGGAAAAAACCTAAAAATAAATGGTAAGATTGAAGAAACAAAGATAACTTCATTTCGGATTTGAACCCCAAAACCCACTTCGTATAACTTTGAAATGGCCAATCTTTTACAATTTGTCTTGGTGATATCAGTTGTAACCCTAGGCAGGTGCAGATAATCTGTTGCCATTGCATACTCAAATGATATTTGGACTGCATTGGGGAGATCTGGTGTAATGTTTTCTTTCCAATTCTTATATTTCTATCCATTTCTTATATTCTAAGTAGCTGCAATTAACTTAGAGACCAATGTCGGAAAATGCTTTCAAACTCTCTCTGGTAATTGGCTAGTCATGATTTATAACTTGTGAAAGTTTGAAATTGGGAAAAGAGTCCTTTCTTTTCTATTCTTTATATAGTTTTTACTTGCGATGCCAAATTAACTATTGTAATGTTTATCTTTTAATAGGTGGAGCGTTAGGGATATACCCTGTCCCTAAGTCTATGCTTTTAAACTCTTATCATAGTGAGAGATTTTTATCCAAAATGCTTTTAAACTGTTGCAATGTTTATCTTTAAATGGGTTTCTTCTCTCTCTACATATATATTTTTTGCTCTTTCCCCTTGCCAAAAATTTTTTTATACCCCTCCATCCAGCAGTCCAATTTAGATCAAGTGACCAATTGATCTAGATCCAATGCCTCACAATATTTTATTTTGAAATTTTTTTTACCAAATCACATGAATATAAAATTTGATAAGCACCATCTTCTCAGTCGGGCACACTTAAAAAAAATATTTAAAATTATTTTTGATAAGGCAAAAATACCCTTAAAGGTTTAGATTATTTTGGTCATTTTATTTCTGAAATATTTTTTTTACATGTTTTTCGAGTAAGAATTTAAGAAAAATAATTTAGAAAAAATAAAAATAATAAAATCATAAAAAAATAAAAAAAGTTTGTAAAAAAAATTTGATCTCAAAATGTTTTGTAGAAAAAATAAAAAATAAAAAAGTTAAAGGCGTGACATTGATTAGGCCCATCTCAATAGTTTTATTCCAACTAGATAAGTTAAATATGTAACTTTCTATAATAAAAAACTTCCTCTTAATTACAACTCCAACTAGATATAGTTAGTGCATATGTTCATTCCTACGAACCCTTGATGGTCTCTCTCGTTACAAAGTACTATCAATTGAAAACTACCCAATTTCCTCTTTCATTACGAGAAACAAAAAAAAATCATCAAAATCCTCTCTCTCTCTAACATCTCCTATGTTCGATGGTTTTAATTCAGATAAGATAATACTAACCATATCCTAATATGCTATGAATGAAATAAAAGAAGAAAGAGATAAAGTTCAAAAAAAATAAGTTCTGATTGATATAAATAAATAAATAAATAAATAAACATATAAAATTAAAAAAAAAGAAGATAATTTCATTTCCAAATTCAACCCAAAACCCAATTGGTATGTGACTCAAATTCCATTTCCCCTATACAGTAGTTGCAAAAAACGATCCCTTCCCTTGATAAACTCTCTCTCCCTCAACACAATCCCTCAAGAAACACAATTCCTAAATTCTCTCTCTCTCGATACAAAATCCCCTAAATTTTTTAGCTCCTCCCTCTCGAGAAATAAATCCCTAAATTCTTGAGCTTCTCCCTCTAGAAATAAAGTTTTTGAGTTTCTCTCTCTCTCTAGCTATACATTCTTTCAATTCTTGACTCTCTTAAGACAAATAGTAATTTTTTGAGTTTTTCTCTGAAATTCTTCCCTTTCTCTCTCTAGAATCAAACTCACGGCAGGATTTGTATATATAGAGGCTTATCAATATTCAAGTTAGGATTTGTATAGATCAAGCTTTCCTTGACGAACTTTTTCTCTCTCTTAACACATGTACTATCTTTTGAGTTTATCTCTTTAGGAAAATATTTTTTAAGTTTTTGATTTTGTACTTACCCCAAAAGAATTCTAGATTTTCTCTCTCTAAAAACCATTACTCTCATTTAAGTTAAACTTTAGTCCTCTCTCTCTCTACAGTTTATCTCTTTAGAAAAATATTCTTTAAGTTTTTGATTTTGTACTTACCCATTCTTTCTTGAAAACCAAGGGAGAGAAAAGTAGAGAGCGAATAGGTCCATCCTTTCTTGAAACTAGCAGTGAGAAAAGCCGAGAGGAAATCAAGAGAGGAAATGACTTCATCAAAAGAATTGATGCATCAGCAAACATCTCATAAGGAGCTTATGTTTCCTCCCCATGAAGAAGAAGAACATGACAGATCACCTCTCTCTCTTGATGACATCCCATACGATGTCGTGTTTCGCATTCTTGTTGCGCTTCCAACGGAATCCGTCTGCACAATAAAGTGCGTGTCGAGATGGTTGTATGAGCTTCTGTGCTCTCCCTACTTTGTTCGAGTCCATTTTCTCACGACGCCTTCGCACCCCTCAAACTGTGTCGCTTTGATCTCCATATACTCAGGTTGGTTCTTCCTGTCCATCTCGAGTTTCATAAATGTCAAACCCAAGAGACTCCGACTGGTCAAGCCACCAGTTGGAGAGCGTTTGTTGGAGCATCCAATCACCAGTAATGGTGTGGTGTGCTATAAGGCCTATCCAGACTATGCAACCACAATAGTCTACAACCCTGCAACTAATAAGCGCGTAAGCGTCCGAAAGTTTGATTCGTATCAAAGTATTAGGGCATTTTTTTTCGACCCAGCAACTGAAAATTTTATGATATTAGTGCAAACCTCAGATTTCGGGCACTCCGGGTATTCTATATTCAATTCTGCTATAGGACTATGGAAGAGCATTGCTAATCCATTCCAACTCACATATGAGGGTTCAATTTTGTGTGTCGATAGCGTGTGCTACGTATTAGAAAAATTCATCAGGTTCGACATGTTCGCTTTCAACATGATATCTGAAGAATGGGTACGAATTCCTCTTCCCTGTGATTCATGTCCCACCTGTTTTCGCAAATTGATCGAATGGGGAGGCCAGGTGTGCCTAGTTCTTGATTCTGGATCGCGAGATTTGAAAATATGGAAGTTAAGGGAGGAAGAGAGGAAGTGGGAGAAATTGATTGATTTGCACCTTGAGAAAAGATCCAGAATTCCAAGCGGTACGTTGAAGATGGAGAGATTCTCTATAATTCCATATCGTCAACAATCTTTGTTCATTGTTCGAGGCATGAACGCAAGCATCGAGGTTGATGTATATGACATCGGCAACAAGACATGGGACTTTTCTCGGAGATTCTTTTGGCGTCCCCGAGTTCACGATCTCGCATGTCCTCAAATCTCGCCTTTTGCACCAACAATCTTGCGTTGCAAATAGTTGCTTTAATAACTGATGATTTTTTATTTTATTTTCCTGATGTCCTTTACATATTATGTTGCTTAATCTCTATTTCACTACAGCAAAAGAACCCAATGGGAATGACAGCTTGTGCCATTGAAAGTATTGCATTGTCCAAGGATTTGCATTGTTTTTTTATTATGTGAATTTTTTTTAATGAGAATAAATAGATAAAGTTGCGTTCTTGATGTCGACTTTTGGGGTTTTGAATTAGTAGTTGGAAACTCAAGATACGATATTGAATTAGTTTCAAGTTTGAGTGCAACCAGGACAAATGAATTTGATTTGGGCTCTTTTAAAGGATATGAATTTGATTTGGGCTCTTCTAATACCCCTTCTCTCTCTCTCTCTCTGCTAGTTTATAAGTTCTTTGAAAATTTCGTTTCTCTCCCTAAAAGTGGATACAAACTCTTTTTTTTTAATAAAAAAAAATCAGGAATCCAACTTCAACTTACCTATTTTTATATACTCACGTTTTCTATATATATTATATATACTCACGTTTTCTATATATATATATATATATATATATATTCGAACTCCTAGATACCGTTGATCATCTCTTACACCAAATCTCCTCTCATTACAAGAAATAAAAAACCACCAAAATCGTCTCCTCCTCTCTAATATCCCCTACTTCCGTCTGTTTAAATTCAGATGATACCAACCATATCCAAGAGATTACAATAAGGAAGATAGATTTATCTTCCGCGTACACTTATACCATCTAGATTACTATATCATTTATATATCTCTCTATTTCTAATCATCTATCATCTATATATATATCTCTATTTCTAATCATCTATATATTTCTAATTAGGATATGGAAATGGTAGGTTAAGATAAGGCTCTCAACAATTCAAAAACGGTTCCACAAAAAATTATTATTTCTTCCAAAATCTCTCCCTCTAAAGATTTATCTCAAACATTCCCTCTTTTTTTCCCACCTAAAGTATAGTAGGCATATATCTCTCTTAAAATATGTGCGCCCTCTATTTCTCTCTCTTCCTCTATAAATTTCAATCTCAATAATTATCTCAAAGGTTACATATTTCTTTCCTACTTCCCTCCTCCTTTCCTAGCCATGCTACGGATATCTCTCCCTTAAATTTTTCTATTCTCCTCAATATTAAAGAGTTTTCCTTAAAAAAAAAAAACTTTCACGTTCATATTTTTGATGTGAACCAAAAATCCTCTAGAGAGGTAGATATTAGAAAAAGAAAAAAGTTTATATAGAGCCGAGGCTCTAAACATTCAAATTAGAGCCTACCTCAAAAATTTCACTAGAAGAGGTTATTTTGATGCTCAAATATCCTCAAATGGATCATCTTGAACTCAAGATGCATGGACATTAAGAAAAAAAAAAAAAGATTTCATGTTTTGAGAATCGTGCATCTTCCGCGTACATTTATACCATCTAGATTACTATATCATCTATATATCTCTCTATTTTTAATCATATATCATCTATATATATCTCTATTTCTAATCATCTATATATTACTAATTAGGTTAGGATATGGAAATGGTATGTTAAGATAAGGCTCTTAACCGTTCAAAAACGGTTCCACAAAAAATTATTATCTCTTCCAAAATCTCTCAATTTTCTAGATGTTCAAGTTTTCATTATATCTGCTTGATCTATACTATTTTTTAACCTTTAAATTTTATAATTAACTATGAAAATATATTTTAAGGCTATCTTAAAAATTTCAGTATTGGAACCACATTTATCGATACTATTTGAAGGTACACTTTACTTTGATTGTTTAGAGCCTTGGCTTGATACAAACCGCACCCTTAAAAAAATAAGAATCTCAATATTTTATATAAAATTCTTTTAGTAAAAATATTTTAAGTGAATAACGTAGTGTAGATATTAAGTTTAATTCAATATTATTAACTATTAGTAAATAATCATAGGCCATTGCAATATAACGAATATTTGTATTATTGTTATTATTTAGCCCATAGATTGTAATATATATTGTAGTATCATGTTTGCGACTATAGCTATCCAATTTGATATCTAATGGCTAGAGACAGTTGTAACCTCCTTTTAACAAAGATAAATAATTTCAGAGTTTATAATCCTATTAGTAAATTAGATATAATTAAGTTAGGGTGTGGTTTCTATATGGTTGCAACCTTAAACAAGCCAATTAAGGCACACCTCCAAATTTTATCATAACATGTAATTTTGGTGTAATTTTTTTTAGGATTATCTGAAAATTTATTTTCATATATAATTATCACATTTTATACTAAAAAAATGACTAAAATCAAGTAGATCTATAAACATGAGAAAATCTTGAAAATGGATGGTCTAGATAATATGTTGCAAGCTGCACTATTTTTGGGACTCAAAATATTTTTTTTTTATATTCATATATGGATGTCCAAATGATCAATTAGAGAATTTTTCAATATTATAACAACTTTTTCCAATGAATTTTTGAGGTGGGTCTTTAATTCTACATTTAAGGTTGCAACCTTGAATAAAATTTTTCCTTTAAGTTATTATCTAACCCTAAGTAATTGCAAGAAGGCTAGAATGACGATAATGATGATGATTACTTATTAAATATTGTGGTATAAATTATATTAGTACTTATCAAAATTAATAATTTATAAATCTTCGATTTTTGATATTAATGATCTACCACGTGTAAATCTCAAAGCCTTTCTATTTATTTTGAAACTTTTTCTTTTCTCCACAAAATATAAAATTTTCAAGAAATAAAAAAAAAGACAACAAATTATAGATTTTATCTTTAATTGTACAAATCTTTCACTCCCATCCAAGGAGTTAAGCCTATGTATACTAGTTTAAGATAAACAAGGATTTATAAATCAACATAAAACATGATTATCTTTTGAAAGAAAAGATAATTTGATAGAGAGAGAAAACGTGATTCAATGTAACAAATATAAAGAGATTATTGTCCAAGGAGAGAGAGAAATTGGAATATAATATTACATAATCTTTTCTTTATCTTTTCCTATTTCTTTATGGATTCCTCAAGGTCTCCCATATTCCTCAATCTCTATGAAGATCCATTAACATAGTGTCTCTCCCATCGATAAACTTCTTTTTTTTAAGTTGTATGCATTCATCTCTCCTCTCTCGTCTTTTCTTTTCTGTTAACACATTTATTGCTCTTCATCTTTCTCTCTCAATAATTTCATAGGTAAAAAGATGAAAAACGGGGAAGAGAGAAATATGTTGACCCTTCAAGAATTTCGTGAATTACTGAGAAAAATTGAGGAAAACTATGAAGAGCTCATTAGAGTCCTGGGGTTGAATACATGGACAGAAGAGGTAGACAACCATGTTTTTGTGCCTTCTCTCTCTGAGAAACTTTAACAAACCGCAAGAAAGAGGAGATTGCTTTAGAAAGCAACGATGAGGAGGAGGAGATAGCTGGGGAGAGTAATGAAGTGTGTACAATATGCCTTAATAAAACAGAGGTGGAGAATGTGAAGGTGTTGCAGTGCTCTCATACATTTCACTCTCGATGTATAGGCATATGGGTGGCTCGCAAAAGTTCATGTCCATTATGTAGATGCGCTATATAAGACCCTTTTTTTTTTTTTGGTGTAAAAGTGATAATGTATAAAGATGGATGCAAATATGTGGTCCATCTAAAAACAATTGAAATTAACGGTCCATATGTTTTTTTTAATATAATTATTATTTCTAATTTTTAAATTTTATTTATTTTTTAATAATCATGATCTCCATGTTAGAGATTACATATCTGTAAAAATTAAGTCCAAAAATCCATTTCAAAAACACATTTATTAAGGGACCAACATTTCTACATGTGGGGGCTTGGCCTGCATGCAAACCGTATCCATCTATTTTTTAAAATATTTTTTTAAGTTTATTTGGGCTCCTTAAGGTTGTTTTTGTTTTTATATTGATTTTAATATGGTTTCCTAAGTTTAAGAAATTTTCGTCTTCTTTTTTTGCATTTTATTGAGGGCTTTCCAGCCCGGTGATGACTGGATCGAGTCTTGAGGATTCGGTCGAGTTACTCAGCTCAGCCAATGGCTGAATACCTTCACCAAGTCTGTATACTGCTTTTTTCTTTATAAGTTTACGCCAATGTTTAAAAAACGGGGGCTTTTGGTAACCTGAACTCGAGCGGCCAAATTCCAAACTCTCAATTACTGTAAAAATCATCTGTTTAAGGCTCTCTCTTTGTCATCTACTTTACCTCTCTCACCGATTTCTCTAATCCTCTCTCTCTCTAGGTCAGCGTGGAGATTCAGCCGAGTAACTCGGCCTCACCCTATGTGGGAGACAAGGACCCCAAGCATTGAATCTCACAGCTCTTGCAAAGTGGAGGCCCTCAAGAATCGAATCGTACATCTCTTGCAAAGGTGACGTAATCAATACGCCATTAGCAATTTAATTGTAAAAGCTTCTTGCTAATTACATATATTATGATATGTCTTCATTTTTTTAAAAAAATAAGTTAGAATAAGGCGAGTTACTCAGGCTCCGAGTTTTTTTTGGCCGAGTCGATTTTCTAAATTTTGCTCAGGATCATCTACTCTATCTCTCATCTGCATGTCTCTTTGTCTCTCACTTATTTATCTAAGGGATTAGACTAACTTTCTCCCTTTCAGAGATTTAGGGGACTTTTGATTTAAGGAACGACACATCACAGCCGTCCTGGTTGACATCTGACAGCTAAGCATAGTGCGACAGATATTTGTAAAAAGTAAATGACCTCATCACGTACAGTATACTATCGCCGTTGTTTTTGGCCCTTGATTCTACTAACTTGACATCAGTTAAAATAACTAATAATATATCCCATATAATCCGTGTTTTGCTTATTTCGGGTTGCAACACTTCGTCTTGGGCTGGGCCAAGGGAGACCTGACCATGCCCAGCTCTATTCTTTGGCTAGACGGGTCAAGGCATACTAGACCAGTATATATCTGACTTTTTAATAAAAGAA